AAGATAGAAAAATATATGTAAAATAAATTGCAGGAAGAAAGAGAAATTGGACCTCAATATAGCTGAAATTTGATTGTTTCACTTCTTTGAACTCAAGAACGTAACGAACCGCGGATGGGAACTCGAATCGGCACCGGAAGGCTCGAAATCGAAACGACCTCAATCAAACTCCATCGGAACCCATGGTTTCAAAATTGAAAATCAGAAGAAGAAGAAGCAGATATGAAAAGCCGGATCTGATTGAGCAGACCGTGAGTGTAGCAGTGTTTGAGCCGACAATGAAAAATTCTCTGCTTTTTGTGAAATCTCCGATCGTCCTTTCTGTTTACTACTGGAGTTGGAGTATTATTTTTTAGCAAACAAGGTCCTAATTAATGTTTTCCTTTTGAAACTCTGAAAGAATCCCAAGAATTCACTCGAGCCTCAAATTCCCATCCCCTCTCATTCTCGTTCTCTCATCGTTGTTGCTATTTGTTTGTGCCTAAATGATGTAACCACACTTTTATTAGAATTATGTTGCAAACTTTTTGGTCCAGAACTCGATGCACCATAACCAGAGGTGTTTAATTTAGACTCCTTGTTGCTTCCCGTGGCACTAGATGAAGACACGTTTTATAACCTGGCTTTCCGTCTCAACTTAGAAGCTGCTTTGTTTGCTATCTATATGTGTGTGTTCTCGGTTAAGGAGTGACGGTTGTTTGTGTTCTTTGGTCTTCTATCTGCAAGTGAGGTGCGGCTGATGCTAGGTCTTTTCGGGTGTCTCTAGGGTCTTGTTTTAGGTTGTAATTAGGTAGATATATGTGGGTGGGGATTAGTTTTGACCATTGGATGAAAGGGAATGAATGACTAGGATTAAATTAAAAAGAGTTGATGGGTTAAAGGGTCTTGGGCTTCATATTTGGGTCTTAAAATTGGACTAAAAGAAAAATGTCCAAACCTTAGCTAAATACCTTTTAATATAAGCTAAATATACTACATATTGTAAAAATCTATCTAATTAATTAAACTAAATTATATATAAAATATGAAACTATTTTTTTATATTTTTCAAATGTCAAACTAAAATAATAACAAGATTAGATTAAAATCATCGCAAAATTAAGATAATACTACTACCCAAAACACTAATATCCTTGAAAATAAAGTGCAATTATTTTTGTATTTTCGAATGTTATGTAAGGTAGATAAACTAACAGTAACAAGATAAAATATCAATAACCTAAATAAAAGAAAATATTTTTGTAATTTTCATTTTTGTGACAAAATAAAGTAAAATAGTTAAACTAGGTAAAATAGCACTATTAGACCTAAACTAAATATCTAAAAGCTAAAATGAGTAAAAACTCGGAGAGGGTCAAAAATTATATGTTTACACTCATGTAGCTTCATATTCTTAGATCTATGTTACGTCATATTGTTGAGTTCGCTTCAATTATCGTTTTTCCCTGTTGTCACTATTTGGTACTACTTGTTCTTCTTTACTTGTGGGAATGTAATGGGTTTGTTGTTGTAGTTGTTGGTGGTATTCAGTATCCAGACTTTTATCTTCTGCGCCCAACATTCAAAGGTTAATTTATTTAGTCACAAATGTTTCAGATTTTGAACTTGAGCTGTTAGTATCAGTTCTGTCAAGCGGAAGCTGTAATCTTAATGATTGAATTTATTCCCAGCTGCTTTGTGAGGAGTCAAATTGCTAATGAGTGATCTCCTGAAGTAAAGAAGAATAAAGAAAGGAAAAGAGTATGATTTAAGACAATAGGTTTATTTGTTGTCATTAAACAGTATGGGTTCAGTGAAAAATAATAGACCAAATATTCATGAATTTGAGGCATTTTGCAAACCACTGGCAAGATGTTTCCTGTATAAGTTTGCTCGTGTTGTTTTTCTGGAGAGCTTACAATTGACTTCAAGATGTTTTATCTGCAGGCAGAAACAACTGTTATCAATCAATGCACACAGCTTCTTTCTCCATCGGCTGATCCCACATATGTTATGACTTATATTAACCACAGTTTTCCTCAACACCGCCAGTATCTTTGTGCTGGTGCGTGGATACTAATGCATGGACATCCGGAGAATATTAACTGCATAAACCTTGTAAGGCTCGCCCTTGTTTTCCTCAAGTTATTAGAAGCTTTTGTGTAGTGATCATCTCATCGACTTCTTTCTCATATTGAGATATCCCTACTAAAACACATTTTTCTCGCGTGGCGGCGTTCCTGCTAATAATTGGATACAGGGACGTGTCTTGAGGGAGTTTTCTCCTGAAGAGGTGACTGCAAATATTTATACGATGGTAGATGTTTTGCTTCATCATATTCACTTGGAACTACAGCGTGGACATCCCTTGCAGGTTTTGTTGTACTCCTTTCTTATTGATTCTCTAGACCTATCAAGTTTTCACTGAGTATTGACCCTCCTTGCTTTGTTTTTTTCTAATGTCTTCCTCTTTTCATTCCTCAGGATCTTATGCTAAAAGCATGTGGAAACCTTTCAATTTTCATCTGGACCCATGAGCTTTTGCCTCCAGATATCTTGCTACTTGCACTTATTGACCGCGATGATAATCCACATGCTTTGCGCATTGTAGTATGTTCTTTATAATCTTTCTCAATTAGTTTTCTGTCTTTATTAGTCTTAGTCAGTTGTGAAGAGCGGTGTAAGCCTATGATACTTAATTTTCTGTTAATGATTCATTGTTATTTGCTTATAATATTCTTTTGACGGCATCTTCTCCCAATATAATCAGGGGAAATGGTATTTTGACATCATGTTTTTCTCATCTGTTGTAGACTCCGTAGTTTGGTGCTGTTTCCACTTTCATTCTTACGCTATAGTGTTATGAGGACAAAGTGATAATTCTAGCTTGCTTGAAGAAGGCATCATCTTTGTTAAATGGACATTGGGCCCAACTGAACCCCAAAAGCTAGCTCAAGAGGTGGTGATTGTCCAAGTCCATATAAGGACACTACACATCCCATTCATTGTCGATGTGGGACTTAACAACCCCTCTCACGCCCAGGACTGGACATCTAGAGCGTGGACAATTATGGGGGCCCAACATCCGAAAATCGGGATGGGTCCTGCTCTGATACACTTGTTAGAACCGAAAAAAGTTAGGTGTCATGCGGAAGCTAGTAAAGCAAACCTTCAACTCGATAAATCAGACAACAAAAGAGAAATCTACCAAAAGAGGCACAAACATTTAACATGGTTCGGTCAACTGACCTACGTCCACGGCGGAGATGAGCAATCTACTATAATACAAAGAAAGTACAAAATATCGAGAGAACAACCTCACGAAGAGGCAAACACAAGTGACGCACTAACACTTGTCCTGTAAAGTTCTCCCCGTAAACAAGACTCTCAAGCCCCCTATGGCTACATTGTGGATGCTACTGAATGAGAAGGACAGATCTTCAATTTATAGAACTCCAAACCTTTTCCTACAAGAAAAGGGACTAGCCAAATATGGAAGAATTATATTTTCCTTCTAGGAAAAAAAACCCAATTATGGTAAATATGTTGTCCTTTCGTTCCTGAGATAGGAAAACCAATTATGGTAAGAAAATCTGGACAAACACCTAACAATTCTCTCCCTTGGCCTGAATTTTCTAACAAAATAAACTTGATCCACCTTCTTCGCATAACCTTCAATAGGGTTGCATATCTAAATCTCCACCACAAAGTTTCTCAAACAAAAATTACGATTATCGTCAAATATGTTGCGGCTAGAACTGAACCCGCCAAGATAAATCTGTCTTGAACCTCGCTCTGATACCAATTTGAAGGATTGAAATACCCCGAAGAATAATTTATGCACAAGCAAAAAATTCAGCAAAAGCTATATAGAAGAAACTTATCAAACTGGGGAGAGAACATTGTAGGAGGGTTTTTCACAACTCAAACTCTTGAATCTCTCTACATTGTAGCTATCTCTCCACAATAGAAAATATGTAGTAGCACCCTATTTATAATACTACAAAACCAAAAACCTATTCTAATGTAAAATTGATAAACAAAACCTAACTAGACATGAATTAAATAAACTACCAAATATCAAATCCTAGACAACTTAAGAATATTAATTAATCTTGGTTTAATTTCCAACAGCCTCCCTTAAACCAAGATCTTCAAACTTGAGTATGCCATAAGTAACATCAAGCCTTGTAGAAGTCAAGTACCTTAGACTCTCCACCAATTTTCTAAAATATGTAGCATCAACAAAATCACGAGTATCATCTTTAGTTAACTTCAATTTCTCTTCAATATTGGTCATATATGATTTGGATATAACCTTGGTAAATTCCTTTAAAATATCATCAACATATTTTTCCTTTACTTTGAAATCATCTACTTCTCTAATTGCCTTGTGGTTGGTCTCGTACACAAATTCAACTCTAATTGGCGATTCTATAGGTTGTAGAGTAATGCCATTAATAGATATTTCGTCTTGCTCCTTGAAACATGTAATCTCGAACAATGGCACGAAATTGATTACATTTTCAATATATATAATCATGTGTTGTTCTGGTTCTAGATCCCAAGCTATTTGCACCTCAATCTTGTGCAAATCATCAGAGACTTTCTCTTGATGAATTATCTTATTTTTTTCGTTAATAGGTTCATCTTTAATACTATCAAATAACTTTTCAGGTGAAACACCAACCTCTTTTGGACGAACGTCCCTTGCAATCAAATCTTCCGTTTTAACAACCAGAGAAATTTTTGGCAGATCAATTTGAATATTATTTGACTTCCCTTCGCATTCAATAGAATTTCTATCACAACAAAAATTACATGTACCTTCTCTTCTTTTCTCCTCTGTTTCTGAATTTTGGCCTTCTTGATTTATTTTCGTCATCTTTGATGTGTCTTCTTTTTCTTTTGGTTGATCATCTTTTTCTTGTGAGGCCTCCTCCAATGTCTGATCTTTCTGTTGATTCAATGATCTCTTATATGTCACCACTTCACCTTCTAAATCATCAAGTCTGAGAGTACTAAGATCTTTGGTAGCCTCAAGAATAACTTTCTTGTTGCTAAGCTTTAAACTTAGAGACTGCAATATTTTTCAACAATTTTAACTTCTTCCAATACTTCTCCATTGGTCCTTAGACCATTGACTATTTCTTCAATTTTTGTAAAAAATTCTTTGATAGCCTCTGTTGGTCTCATACGAGCCAACTCTAATTGACTCTTAAACTCTTGAGGTTTCTCCTTCTTTATATCAACAACTTTACGATATGACTTCACCAAGATTGTCCAAACCTCCTTTGATGACTTTGTATGCAAATATTTCTAGATACATGCAATTCGACATTGATGGCGAGATAGTAACGTGCCTTATAATCTAAATGTCTCTTCTTCTCCAATTGCGTAGCTGTATCACCTGTCAACGTTGTGCCTTCTAGGAGTTCCTCAAATCCTTCATCAATGGTGGACTATAATCCAATAGCCTTAAAAAAAATTCTTCATCTCTTGATACCAAATTTCAAAATTATTTTTGCCATCAAACACAAAAACTGGACAATTAGGTAATAGAGTATCCATATTTTTGTTGGATCTCCTATCGGCTCTGACAGAATCTCACACAGGCTCTGATACCATGTTAAATGGACATTGGGCCTAACTCAACCCAAAAAATCTAGCTCAAGAGGGGAGGATTGCCCCAAGTCCATATAAGGAAACCACACATCCCATTCATTGTCGATGTGGGACTCAACAATCTTCTCTTTGGCTATGATGTTTTACTGCCTGTCCAGCCTAATCGAATTGTAATTTGTCATAGGGAATTGCTAAATTCCAATCTTCTTATGTTTGGGCTATTGGAGCGATCTTCAACAATTAAAAACTGGGGAGAAGAACTAAATGAAGGGCGAACAGAAGTTCTAGCTCTGGTTTTCTACGAAATCAAAGTATACTCATTTACTAAAAATGAATAATTTCAGAAGCATTTGATTAGTATGAGATTCCAAGCCTACCAGTCAGGAATCTCATTCCTCTGTATCATCCAAGACAATTCATAAAAGCAGGCCTATCTGGTTTAACGTCTGAAGATGTACAATATTATGATCTCAAGGTGTCCCATAACACTATTTTGGAACATTGGTTCTTATTGCTGTTGACATAAACACCTTTTTAGTTTTCTGCTCCTCTAGCATCTTACATGTCCAACCATAGGCTAACAAGGTAGGTAGTGATTTTGTTAATTATTTCAAGTCTATAACTCTAAGTGGTTCTTTCTCCTAATGATTGGAATGTGTCTTTCCTTTTATAGAAAGTGGATTAAATACCTGTTGCTTTGGTTCATGCTACTATGGTAGAAGCAACTATGAGCTATCCTCTGACATATTGAAACAAGTTAACTTCTATCTTTTCCTTTTCGAGTATGACAGAAAGACGAAGTTTGTGGTAAGAGCACGAAAGTTATGGAGCTGCAGTACCCAGAGAGTGACATTGCACTTCTACAGAGAATTGCTGGGTCAACAATCATATCCCATTCTTGTTCATTTTGCCTTGAATAAGAGAGAAAGTATCTTTACTTTTGACAATAAGAGAGAAAATTACAAGTGTTAGTGTCACGACCCAAAATCCATCTAGTCGTGAATCGTGATGACACCTAACCCAACCCGATAGGTAAGCCAAATAACATTCAACACAACTCAAATGAGAATAATATGAGCCAATGAGTAAAATAGCTGAACTTCGGTACTAAATCCCAAGGATTTGTAGTATAAATCATGAGCTTTTAAGACAGAGAATTTACAAAGCTGGTACGAAGTAAATACATCATCTGTCCGAAATATACATAAACAAATTTGCAAATCTAAAGCTACAAAGGACAAGTGGCAGCTATGACCAGAACGCAGGTACATCTTCAATGCCAGCTCCCGCCATACACAACATCAACTCCAATATCTGCACGCAAGGTGGAGAAGTGTAGTATGAGTACAACCGACCTATGTACTTAATAAGTAATGGACCTAACCTCAAGTTCAAAGCAGTGACGAGCTCAGAAGATAGTCAGAGTCCAACATCAATAATAACATGAGATATGTTAATGTCAAAAACAGTAAACAACTCAAAACAATATTATGCTCAGCTCGGTCACAATTACGGGAGAATAGACATGTTTTTCAAGTGTGACAATCAAGTCCAAATTTTACCACCGAAATCATTTAAACATGAGTTTATCAAAAAAATTGCATTTTTTCAATTCATAACATCTGCGTTTACCATTTAGTATGGGAAAAGTATATCTCTATGCCTACATGTCAATATACATGTCAAATCATCAATTATCATATGCCGGCTAGCATGAGGAACATACATCTCTATGCCTACATGTCAAATATACATGTCCAATCATCAATTGTCATCATAGTGAAACCATCAAGAATAACCACACTTAGCACATTCACGGTGCCTGGCCCAAGGCCCTCACCAACACACATAACACTTAGCACTGTACCCTGGATTAAATGCCCATCACTAAGGCAAGTATATCAAAAACACTATGCCTATGCCCACTGTTGGCATGTCAGACTCCGGAAGGGTGGATCATGCCCAAGCGTTAATCATAATCATTGAGCCCAAATAGTGGGGCCTGGTGCACGCGTCGCCCCAAATCAATAATGCTTAGCCCAATATGAGCCTAGCGTACGCGTCACCTCAATATCAATACCAAATCTGCTCTATTTGGGCCAAACTCAAGTCATTAACCGTTCAAGTCTCAAATAAACACTTCTCACAATACTCAGTTCAACAGTGTTACACATAGGATGCATCAACATTTGAGGAATCAAATAAGAAAGGACTGAGACAGAGATATCATACACGAATGTAGCATCATGACTGAGAACATGTGTACAATTAGGGCAAATAGCTTAGAAACGGCAAGAATAGCCCTATCAAGACTCAAACAGGTAGCACATACCCTAGACATGATTCTAACATGATCAGAACTCAAATGTTCATATAGGTCTAGAAAACACGGATATAACGAGGCATGATAGCAAAACAATCCCATAGTAGCCTAAAAGCCACCTATAATCATGAACACTCCGGTGCACGTGCACACGCCCTTCACCTAGCGTGTATGTCACCCTAATACCTCTCATATAACATAGTTTCCAGGGTTAAATACCCTCAAATCCAAGTTTAGATATGTTACTTACCTCGAACATGCCAAATCCAATATCGAGCAAGCCAAACAACACTTTAGAAACGCCATCCCGCGTGAATCAACCTCCGAACGACTCGAATCTAGCCAGAAGCAACTCAAAACATCAAATAATGCCATAGGAAATAAACCCAAAGCGATAAAGGTCGAATCTTTAATCAAATACTCAAAGTCAACCAAAAATTCAACTCGGGTCCGCACCTCAGAACCCAACAAAACTCACATATTCCGACAACCCATTCAATTACGAGTCCAACCATACTAATTTCACTCAAATCCGACTGCGAATCGATGTTCAAATCTCAAATATTCACTTTAGAAAAATTTAGTTAAAACCACACAATTTCTCTTTTAAATTCATCAATCAAATGCCAAAATCGAAGATGGAATCACGAAATATAATGAAAACCGATTCAAAGACACTTACCCTAATCCATATAGTGAAAATCCTCTTCAAAATCGCCCAAATCCGAGCTCCCCAACTCAAAATGTGATAAAATGATCAAACCCTCGAAATATATAACATATGCCAGCATTTCCGCATATGCGGTCACTTAGTCGTATCTGCGACCTCCACTTCTACGGTCCCCGTCTCGCATTTGCGAACAGGCTACCTCTTACCATTTCTCGCATCTGTGGACCCATAGCTGCATTTGGGCTCCGCAAGTGCGTTCCGCATCTCGCAGAAGTGCTCCCGCATCTGCGCCAAAACCTCCGCCAAAGCGGAACTCCTTTGGACACCTCCCCTTCGCAGAAGCGACCACTCCATCGCATAAGCAAGCCCGCACCTGCGGCCAAATCTGCGCAGGTGCGAAGAACCAACAACAGAACTGCCCAACATGCTCAAAATAATCCAAAACACTCCCAAGCTCCTCGGGAATCCGTCCGAACATAACACGGACCTACTCGAGGCTTCAAATTACGCATTTCAACATCAAAATCACGAATTGCACCTCAAATCAAACTTAACGAACTTTCAACTTCCAAAACTCGTGCTGAACTATATCAAATCAACTCGGAATGTCCTCGAATTTTGCACACAAGTTCCAAATGACATAACAAACCTATTCCAACTCCCGGAACAACAATCCGAATGCGATATCATCAAAGTCAACTCCCGGTATAACTTATGAACATTCCAAACCTTCAAATTACCAACTTTCGCCAATTCGTGCCAAAACCTTCTAGAGCCATCCAAATACATATCCAGGCATACGTCCAAGTCCAAAATCACCATCCCGGAGCTAACAGAACCATTTGAACTCCGATCCGAGGTCAAATTCACAAAAGTCAAACTTGACCAACTCTTCCAACTTAAAGCTTTCTAGTTGATAATCATTCTCCCACAAAAATCCCGAATCACCCAAAAACCAAAACGACGATACACACAAGTCATAATACGTCATATGGAGCTACTCATGTCCTCGAACCACCGAACGGAATGCAAATGCTCAAAACGACTGGCCGGGCCGTTACAATTAGAGTGAAGAATACATTTTTGCGAGCCGGCAAACGATGATTTCACTCATATAGGAACAAAATCCAGTGTCTCATAGGATTACCTTTTTTTTGCTTTCTGTGCAAGTGGATCATTCTTGTTGTGAACCTGACCGTGATCATAAGAGCTTTTCATTCACATTCATAAATATGATGACTTTCAAATGTTATAAGTAGTTCTTTTGCAATTTATTGAAATAGTGATATATTTGGTACATCAAAACGTCCCTTTTTTCTTTTGCTCACTTTTTGACACCTTTTGTTCAAATTCCAAACAGATTAACTTACTTGACAGTAAAGAGCTCCAACAAAGAGTAAAACTTTATCTCATAAATCGTGGCCCACCTGAACATTGGCTTTCTTCTGGACCTTTCAAGCGTGTGGAACTGCAGAAAGCTCTTGGAAACTATCTGTCATGGAAGGAAAGGTAACAAATTGAACATTTTTTTTTCCAACAAGTGGGTAACATCTTGGACTATATTATATGCAATCTCAAGGTTCCTTGTAATTGCTGAATGCTTAGATATTAACAGTTGGATCAAGTATATATATGGTTGCAAAGTAAGTACACATATCTCTATGTCGAATGTTTATTCGGATCTTCCCTAAGCATAAGTTTTTATTTGTAAGGCCTCATTTGTTTGCACTTAATGAGGTCTTAATCTTAATCATTCAGATCTCAGACGTTAACTGTACTTCTTTTTAAAGTGTGGATCTTAGTTTTTTTTTTGATAATGGTAACATGTAGTGTGGATCTTAATTATTCAGATATTAATTATTAAGTGTGTTTGTTTTTTTATTTCACAATCACTTAATGGGTTTGAATGATTAAGATATATAACAAAGACTTAATTTCATTAAAATGTTATCATCCACATTCACTACTAACTGCCGCCACTGCCCACCATTATCACCTACCGCCATGCACCACCCACAACCACTATACTCAACCACACCGACCACCACATCCTCAATCATAGCCGCCACCGCCATTATTATCGACTATCACTACCCACTACCCCAGCATTATCAACTATTACCACCCACCAACCCCGCCATTATTAACTAACCACCACCGTCATCTCAACCACAACCACCTACCCATCCACCTAAACTCCCACCAGCTACTATCCCCACTGTCATCATCAGCTATAACCGCCATTGTCTACCATTATAAACTATTACGACCCACCACCACCTTTATTCACAACTACCATTAGCAATCACCACTAGCTACCACGCAGAACCACCACCATCAACCAAAACCACACCTCCAATCAGCATCCACAAGCATCACCGTTAGCAATCACCACCACCAACTACCATATTATTTTTTAAAACATATTTTGTTATTAAAATATTTTAACTAATATATTATTTGAATTTTATATTTATTAATTTTAGATAAAGATATATTTATACATTTAGATGTTGTAAAAACAAACAGTCTTAATCATTCAGTATTCGGATATTGATCCACATCTTAATTTTCGGATGTGTATTCAAATTCCGGCATTTAATCTTAATATACATCTTAATATTCAGATTCAGACGTCTTAATCTTGAAAAAAACAAACGAGGCGTAAGTCAACATTTATTTTATCTGAAAGGGAGTAAGATACATTCATGGTTGTTGGTATGTTTTTCAATGAGTAGAAATCTATTTTTAGAGTACATTCAGTTGACAGATGTGTTAAGCTGTGCTATCATTAGGATAGCACTTCTATATTGCCACGATCCAAAATCTCACCAATGATCTTGATGACATCTAACCTGCTTGCTAGGCAAGCCAACACTCAACAACAACAATAAACTTCAATTATTAAGCCATTAACTGTTTCATGATATAAATAACAATGTGGAACATAAATCTCAAATCAATAACATAAGTGCATAATAAAAAACAGGTATAAACTCGGCTACAATTGTCTAACAAATGCCCAAAACCCCGGTGTCACTACATCACGAGCATCTAATAAGAGTAACTAGTTTTAGCTGAACAATAACATCTGTTCGGAGAAGAAATACATAGAGAGAAATGAATAAGTAGGGAAGGGGAACTCCATATGCTGCGGATCAGATAAAGTAAGGTAGCTTACCACGAAGTCTCCAACAAACACTTCTAGTCAGCTAGATGGTACCACAAATACCTACCCCAGAACAACAACAAACCCAGTATAATCTCAGGGGTCTGGGAAGGTTAGTGTGTACGCAAAGTCGCAGACCTTATCCCTACCTTGAAGGTAGAGAGGCTGTTTCCAAAAGACCCCCGACTTTAGAAAAGATGAAAAAAAAGCAGTAGCAACAAACAGTAACAACAACAAGATATTAAGAAACAAGCGTAATAAACATGTAGTAATAGAGATTTACCAATTATAGAATACAAGGCTAACTACCAATCCTGGTGGTACAGGGAAGACACACACACAATGACTGTCACAAGGTGATTGGAGAAACTGGCTAACCACACTTACAATAAATGAGATGTCAGGTCTCGTGATCGTAAAATAGTTGACTTTGCCAACAAGTCTTCGATATCTTCCTGGATCTTTATGAGGCTTCCCTTGTCCCGGAACAAGTTTAGTATTTGGATCCATAGGATTGTCCATAGGTTTGTTGTTTGCAGTTCAACATACCAGTGTCTTCCAAAATATCTAAGGCGTACTTCCTTTGTGAGATGACAATGCCGCTGCCGCTGCCAGATTGTGCCACCTCAATGCCTAGAAAATATTTTAGTTTGCCCAGATCCTTAGTCTGGAATTGACTTGAAAGATGCTGCTTAAGTTGGATAATACCTTCATGATCATCACGTGTGATGACAATATCATCAACATAGACAATTAGAAAGATACATTTGCCTTGAGATGAATGCCTATAGAATACTGAATGATCAACTTCTGTTCAGTCATTCCATATTATTAGACAACAGTTCGGAAACGGCCAAACCATGCCCTAGGAGACTGCTTAAGACCATAAAGAGATCGACGAAGTCGACAGACTAATCAAGACCCCTCCCTGAGCAACAAACCCTGGTGGTTGCTCCATATATACTTCTTCAACAAGTTTTCCATGAAGGAATGCACTCTTAATGTCCAACTGAAAAAGAGTTCAATGATTCATCATTGCCTAAGAGATAAGAAGATGGACAAATGCCATCTTTGCAACTGGTGAAAAAGTATCACCATAATCAATGCCATACACCTGAGTATACTCCTTTGCAACCAATCTTGCTTTAAGGCGATCAATCGCTCCGTTTGGACCTACCTTAACTGTAAGCACGATGTTGTGGGTTTTCCCTTTAGGTAAAGGGACTATCTCCCAAGTACCGTTATTGTGAGAAAGCACGGGAGAAAAATATTATTGATTTTAATTAATGACAATGATACAATGAGCCTTATCTATATATAATACATGTCCTACTCCTAATACATATGGGATTACGGTTATTTACTACTATTTAACTATCAAACTAACATTCCCCCTTAAGCTGGTGCATATAAAATTTTATGTACCAAGCTTGTTACATATATAACTAATACAAGGACCAGTGAGAGACTTGGTGAAAATATCAGCAAGCTGATCATTCGACTTCACAAATTTTGTAGCAATATCTCCCGAGAGTATCTTTTCTCTAACAAAGTGGCAGTCAATCTCGATGTATTTAGTTCTCTCATGGAACACTGGATTTGACGCAATATGAAGAGCAACTTGATT